AGCCTGGGTGATAGACTAACACCCAGAAAGAAAAATAAAAGAAAAGAAAAATAAAAAAAAAAAGCTACAACAAAGTTAAAACTATAAAGTAAGTTCCGCCCAATTAGTTTGGGCTACGTCCAGGGATAAACAATAGCAGCTTGGAGGTTAAAGGCAAGATGGAGAGGGTTAGCTCAGATCTCTTTTCTCACCAATAGAATTTTTACAAAGGCGGTTTCAGGAACGAGGCAATAAGAACAGGGGCACACATCTGTACACCTCCCCTCTCCCATCCCCTTTAGACTTTGGCGTGATCATCTCAGTGCTTCAGCATATCCAGCTGCCGTAGACTGAATGTACGTCCTCCCCAAACCCATAAGTTTATTTTATTTCATTTTTGGAGACAGAGTCTCACTCTGCCACCCAGGCTGGAGTGCAGTGGTGCGATTTCAGCTCACTGCAACCTCTGCCTTCCAGGTTCACATGATTCTTTTGCCTCAGCCTCCTGAGTAGCTGGAACTACAGGCACCTGCCACCATACCCAGATAATTTATTTCGTATTTTTAGTCGAGACGGGGTTTCGCCATGCAGGCCAAGCTGGTCTTGAACTCCTGACCTCAAGTGATCTGCCCGCTCAGCCTCCCAAAATGCTAGGATTACAAGTGTGAGCCAATGCACCTGGCCCAAACTCGTAAGTTTAAATCCTAACCTCCAATATGACGATGTTAGGAGGTGGAGCCTTTGGGAGGTGATTAGGTCCCGAGCGTAGAGCCTTCATGAATGGGATTAGTGCCCTTATAAAAGAGACCCCAGAGAGTTCTCTTGCCCCTTCCACCATGTGAGGACTCAGGGAGATGATGGCCATCTATAAACCAGGAAGCAGCCCTCACCACACACCAGACCTGCCGCCACCTTGTCTTGGACTTCCAGCCTCCAGGACTGTAAGCAATACATGTCTGCGGTTTAAAAGCCACCCGATCTATGGTATTTTTATCACAGCATCCTGAATGGGTTTAGATACCAGTTATTATCAACTGGAGATGCTTTTGCATCCATTCTACACACACAAACACACAAACCCACATACGCTATCACACAATTTCCTGCTGGTGTTTGGAAATGTATCACGGGGCATTTTGGCTGTCACAATGACTGAGGGTACCTGAGTAAAGCAGGGTGAATCCTTCCCCACTCCCACCCCATGGAATTTTGCAGATGAAGAGAACCTTCATCTGTAAAACAAGAGTGATAATAGCGCCTTCCACACAGGGCTGTTTCTTAAAGGCTGCCTGACTTAACCTTCACAGTTTTCATCCTGCTATTGTTTCCTTTTGAACACTGGGATTTTCAGGCCTGGTTGACTCTCCTCTTGGTGCCCAGAGCTGAGACCATCTTTGAGCATTCAGACGAGCATGTCTAAATCCACAGTAGGCTGGGCTGCCCTGTCCCATGGCCATCAACACTGCCTGGAGGGGTGACAGTCCACATCTGGGCATGGATTGCTGCTCTCCCTAGTTTTCCCAAATCCAAGATTATGTCCATGAGCCAAAGACATAAGGTTACTTTTATTGTTGCTGCTACTTGATGGACATACTGAACAGAAAGTTTTAATACAAAGAAGAAATACATGTCAGGTTAAACGTATCTGGTAGTCACTGTGTTAATTAGATGAATTAATTTAAATAGATAACCGTAGGTGCTTTAGAGAAAGAATTTGGACACAACTAAAAGGTCCATTCAAACATAAGAATATTACAGCCGGGCGCGGTGGCTCAAGCCTGTAATCCCAGCACTTTGGGAGGCCGAGGCGGGTGGATCACGAGCTCAAGAGATCGAGACCATCCTGGTCAACATGGTGAAACCTCGTCTCTACTAAAAATACAAAAAATTAGCTGGCATGGTGGCACGTGCCTGTAATCCCAGCTACTCAGGAGGCTGAGGCAGGAGAATTGCCTGAACCCAGGAGGCGGAGGTTGCGGTGAGCCGAGATCATGTCATTGTACTCCAGCCTGGGTAACAAGAGCGAAACTCCGTCTCAAAAAAAAAAAAAAAAAAAAAAAAAAAAAAAAAAAAAAAAAAAAAGAATATTACTCTTAGGAAATTACAATGTTTCAATGTTAGCTGGCTAGACACCATCTCCAAAGGGACCAAGATCATAGCTAAGGTGTTTTTATAACTTTGCTGTATGTGTGGCCACAGGCTAGACAATAGATTTACCAATGAATACAGTGGAGAGATCAGATTTGCATTATCTTAATCTAGGAATTAATCTTAACTCTAACGATCAGATAGCCAAGTAGCCTGCCTCCTCACTATGGTACACTACCGCCCAGAACTGGGCTCAAGCAATCCTCCCACCTCAGCCTCTCAAGTAGCTGAGACTACAGGCACGTGCCACCAGGCCCAGCGTCAATAGTATTCTCAACAAAAAGGAGAGAAATAGTGGCCTGCCCTTTGAATCCACAATCCCTACAATAATTTAAGGCCAGGAATCCTTGATTTTCATCACAATGTATTCCTGCAAATCCTGTCCTAAAGTACTGATAAAGCAGATCATATTTTCCCAAAGGAACAAAGTTACAATGAGTTGTGTGGTTTAAAAACTGTGAAAACTCTAGTAAAATTCTCCCAAGTATAGACATTTAGAGGAGGGGAGCACTTCAAAGGTCATGCATGAATCATAACTTCTGTAAACCAAAACTGAAATTCTAAGGCCTCCTGACCATCTGAATGGTCTCCTCCTTTCAGCCAGGGCAGTACAAAATTAATCTGAAAAAACTTGTTCAGGCCATAATGGAAGTGGGGCTCAGACATACTTTAGAATACCCTCCTCCTTTTTGGAATTCAGGGAAAGCCAGCCAGCATGAACATCAACATAGATCTCAAGTCTGCTAAGAAACATTTGCAATCTCTTCTCTCTCAAGCCAGCACTTGGAGGCTTCATCTGCATGATAAAACCTTGGTCTCCACAACCACTCATTGTCAACCAGACATTCCTTTCTATTGAAATTCATTCTTTCAACCAATTGCCAATCAGAAAAATTTAAAATCTACCTAGACTTGAAAACCCTCTCCGCCCGCACTGCTTTGAGTTGTCCTGCCCTTACTCATTGCAAACCTTGCATGTATTTCCAGATAGAACTATTGCAAACCTTACATGTATTTGATTGATGTCTGCTGTCTCCCTAAAATGTATAAAACTAGACTGTGCCCTGACCACCTTGGCACCTGTCCTCAAGATCTCCTGAGGGGTGTGTCTCAGGTCACAGTCACTCATATTTGGCTCAGAATACATCTCTTCAAATATTTTACAGAGTTTGACTCTTTTAGTCACTACTTCTTGTTACTGACTGGGAAACTGAAACCCTAGAGGGACCTATCAGGTGAGGAATGAGAATCAACCCCACCAAGATGTTTGCAAAGCACTGAGGGAAAATAATTTTGAACCAGAATTCCATGCCCAGCCCATCCATTATTTAAATGTGAGGGCAAAATCAATTGCAATTTCAGAAAAGCAAGCGTTCAGGAAGGTCACCACATTCAAATACTTCCTGAAAGAATTACATGTCTTCAAGTAATCCTCTGAAATAATGGAAAAAATGAAGCAGAAAAAGGAATGTTATAAGATAAAAAACAGTGATGAACAAAGAAATAAAATTGTTTGCCATGTGGTTGTGGACAACATGTGTGGTCAATACGTGGTTCTTAGGGAAAGGAACACATAATATAAAAATAAATCACCTAGAACTAAAATTCTGGATGCTTTAAAGAAAATGTGGAAAGTGATAAAAGTGAAATGAAGGTGAGGGGAAGTGAGGGTCCTAAAGGAATTATTTTGTATAGAAAGTGGCAGCCACACACACTAATTCTCAATGCTGATTTAAAAAATTTGAATGTTTATTAATAAATTAATAGAAGTGGACATGTAACTTTCAAGCCATTAAAGGTAAAGAAGGAATGGACAAACTACAAACTCGACCAAGGCTGAAAAAGATGAAGGAACAAGAAAATGTTATACAGAAAACACAAACTAAATGGCACTAATAAGACAAAATACATTAGTGGTAACAATATGTGAAGATATTTCATGCTTAGATTTTTTTTTTTTTTTTTTTTGAGACAGAGTCTTGCCCTGTTGCCCAGGCTGCAGTGCAGTGGCTGTGTTCTTGGCCCACTGTAAACTCAGCCTCCTGGGCTCAAGCAATTCTCCTGCCTCAGCCTTCAGAGTAGCTGGGATTATGGGTGTGTAGTCCCCACACGTGGCTAATTTTTTGTGATTTTTAGGAGAGATGGGGGTTTCCACTGTGTTAGTCAGGATTGTCTCAAACTCCTGACCTCATGATCCACCTGCCTGGGCCTCCCAAAGTGCTGGGATTACAGGTGTGAGCCACTGCGCCTGGCCACTTAGATATATATATTTATATTTTTAAGAGACTGGGTCTTGCTCTGTCGCACAGGCTGGAATGCAGTGGAGCAATCACATCTCACTGCAGCCTCCAGCTCCTGGGCTCAAGTGATCCTCCCATTTCAGCCTCTTGAGTAGCTGAGACTATAGGCATATATCACCATTTAAAATTTTTTAGATTTTTTGTAGAGACAGTGTCTTGCTGTAGAGACCAGGCTGGTCTCAAACTCCTGGCCTCAAGCGGTCCTCCCGGTTTGACCTCCCAAAGTGCTAGGGTGACAGGTGGGAGCCACCACGGTGCCCTGGATTGCAAACAGCTTGCCAGAGCCATGCCTAAAAGTACCCTAGAGAGGAATTTGGATTTATAACTGGGCAGAGAGAAAAATTGCTTTAAGCTAAAATTGAGGAAGGATTTGGCGGTGGCAGCAATTTTGGAAGGCAAGCAGAACCTGAGCAGACTCCCTTCAGAGTCTTACAGAAGGAATGATAGTGGGTGAGGATAAAGTCCACCCAGGTGGTGCCAGGAGACAGGGAAGCAGAATGGGGAGGCCTAGGGGATACTGCTGGTATGGATCTGATTAGAGAGGTGACATCAGAAGCCATTATCAGAGAATGCTCTGTACCCTAGTTTGCTAGGAAAAGATAATGAGTATTAATGAATGCACTTCTGGTAGCAAAGGACTTTGTTTCTATTGTGAGTTATTTTGGTATGCATGACCTCAAAGCAAGTCACAGCTCACAGTGGGCTCCAGCTTCACCATCTGAAAGCCTTATCATGTTGTGAATAAACCATGAATAACCTGCCTCGGCAGGCCAAGCATCTTGGAATCTGTGTTATTATTAAGTGTGCAGGGCCAGCTGTCCTGCCAGTGTAATCCCCAAATCCTTGTTGAGATCTGCCTGGCCCATCACTACAGAAGCACAACAGAGCCCCAGGAGGACGGGGCAGGTGGGAGATCCAGGCTCTGCCCACACAGATAGCTTGATGCGGAGACCGCCTTAAACTCCAGGTGGATCTCCCCTCCCCCCACCAAGGTCTGCTGCTTCCAGGAGGTGTTTGTTCACCAGTAGCAACACCTTTTGGTGCACTCTGGCTATGAGGCCAAGCCTGGACCTATGATCCTTCTCTGAATGTGCCGGGAAGCCAAGGCAGGGGCCTGGGGAGGTTCCACTTTCCTTAAAAGCAGCTCACTCTCACGGCAACCACAAATGAGCACATTTTACTAGCATTTCTCCGGTGAGGAGATGTTCCATTTCCACTAAGACTGTGTGATCAAGGTTTGTAGAACAAGCTCGTGCATTTGGATTCTGTCTGTGCGACAGTCAGATGTCAGCTCTAACGTGTAATCGAGTCTTTATGTCTTTTAAATTCCTAATGGTAACTATGTAGCCACATCTTCAAAGCAGGGGTAAAAATCAGAACGGAGCCTGTAACTGACACTATCAGAAAGAGCCACAGGAAGATTCGGTCTAGAACTTGAGCGACGAATTTCCAGTCTTGTACCACCTGCAAAAGAGAAAAAGATGCCCTTCACTCAAGACACTGAGCAAATGTCCCGAATTCATCTCAAGGGATTTAAAAAGAGTAACATTCAGATTTATAGCATTTACTTAAGTTTTCAAAAGCATGACTTTTTCTAACGTCCCAACCACTGTACAGGCTGAGGTTCTTTGAGGCTCTTCCCTAATCGTGCCCAAAGGAAACAGCTTGGAACACTCATCAGCACTGAAGAAGAAAAATAGAAGCAATAGAATTCTGTCTACATATGTACACATTACTGATCAGAATGGGAAAAGTCTGATTTTTTTACATGAATAAAAAGCCAGCATATCTTACTAGGGTGCTTCCCGATACATATATGAAAAGAATCACAAATGCGCCGGGCGCGGTGGCTCAAGCCTGTAATCCCAGCACTTTGGGAGGCCGAGGCGGGTGGATCACAAGGTCGAGAGTTCGAGACCATCCTGGTCGACATGGTGAAACCCCGTCTCTACTAAAAATACAAAAAATCAGCTGGGCATGGTGGCGTGTGCCTGTAATCCCAGCTACTCAGGAGGCTGAGGCAGGAGAATTGCCTGAACCCAGGAGGCGGAGGTTGCGGTGAGCCGAGATCGCGCCATTGCACTCCAGCCTGCAGCCTGGGTAACGAGAGCGAAACTCCGCCTCAAAGAAAAAAAAAAAAAAAAAAAAAAAAAAGAATCACAAATTTATAATTTAGGAGTTTGTGCGGCCAACTGTCACAGGCTTTCTTTTCTTCCACTCCAGCTGTGCTGCAGTTCCAGAAGGAAGGGCACGGCCGAGGAGGAGAACCCAACAGGACAAGACAGAAATTCATGAGGGAGAGAGGAGACCCAGTCCCTTTATGAGGAAGTAGAGGCGCAGCACGTGGGCGGCAGGTCCATAAACACGAAGTCAGAGCACGAACAAGCTACTAGGCTGGGGAAGTCTGAAAGGAAAAGGAGTACTCATCCTTCTGGAGAAAAAAAATATTCCTGGCCCCGGTCTGGGGCGGGGGGTGGGAAGAACTATTTAAATCTTTGTATTAGTTTATTTATTTATTTATTTATGAGATGGAGTCTCCCTATGTAGTCCAGGCTGGAGTGCAGTGGCGTGATCTTGGCTCACTGCAACTTCCACCTCCCGCGTCCCGGTTCAAGCAATTCTCCTACCTCAGCCTCCCAAGTGGCTGGGATTACAGATACGAGCTACCATGCCCAGCTAATTTTTGTATTTTTTAGTAGAGATGGGGCTTCACCATGTTGGCCAGTCTGGTCTTGCACTCCTGAGCTTGTGATTCACCTGCCTCGGCCTCCCAAAGTGCTGGGATTACAGGCATGAGCCACCATGCCTGGCCTATTTATTTATTTATTTATTTATTTATTTATTTATTTATTTGAGATGGAGCCTTGCTCTGTTGCTCAGGCTGAAGTGCAGTGGTGCAGTCTCAGCTCACTGCAACCTCTGCCTCCCAAGTTCAAGTGATTCTCCTGCCTTAGCCTCCCAAGTGGAACTACAGGTACGTAACACCATGCCAAGCTAATTTTTGTATTATTAGTAGAGACAGGGTTTCTCCATGTTGGCCAGCCTGGTCTTGAACTCCTGACCTCAGGCGATCTGCCCGCCTTGGCTTCCCAAAGCGCTGGGATTTCAGGCGTGAGCCGCTGTGCCTGGCCTATATTAGTATTTTTAAAAGATGTAAAGAAACAAACAAAAAATCCTCCAACTGGACAGCTGAATGTTTGTCTAGCAGCAGTCACATTTCTAGTGGTTTAAAAAAATTTTTTAAGCGGATGAAAAACATAACAGATTGTTAAGAGAGAGGATATATGAGGCAGTGTCTGCGAATGCAAGATAAAATACAGAAGGATATTTCTTAAAAAATTCTTTCATCAGTTTGTTTATGGGATCAGGCTCTTGGCACTAATCTTCACCAATTTTAGAGTAAAATAATTAAATGCTATAAATTGAAGTTATTATATAAATTGAAAATATGTAACTTGCTTTAGGCAACAGATCACTTTTTTACGCTGAATATTTGCACATCAAATAATATTTTCATTCCACTGGGGAAGGGTTGTTTAGAAGGATGGGCTGGGCATGGTGGCTCACACCTGTAATCCCAGCACTTTGGGAGGCCGAGGCAGTGGATCACATGAAGTCAGGAGTTCGAGACCAGCCTGGCCAACATGGTGAAATCCCGTCTCTACTAAAAAAAAAAAAAAATTAGCCATGCATAGTAGTGCATACCTATAGTCCCAGCTACTCTGGAGGCTAAGATGGGAGAACCATTTGAGCCCAGGAGGCGGAGGTTGCAGTGAGCTGAGATTGTGCCACTGCACTCCAGCCTGGGTGACAGAGCAAGACACTATCTCAAAAAAAAAAAAAAAAAAAAAAGAAGGATGAGGATGAGAATTAGAAAGGTGAGAATTCACACTTGTTGACTGCTTACAGAACAAAGCTGAGCCCCTGTGTGTTGGGCACACTGTGCATATTTTTATTTTATGTCATTTAATCTTCACACAAACTTTTCAAGGTGTGGTTCAGAAAACTGAACCTAAATAACTTGTGTAAGTCATTCAGAATAGGATCTGAGCCCAGGACTGTTTTCAGTCTGAAATTCACACTCTTCCCACAATACCTCTCTTTCTCCTTCTCATTCTCCTTTCTTTCTTTTCTTTTTTTTTTTTTTTTCTGAGATGCGGGTCTTGCTTCAATTGCCCAGGCTGGTCTCAAACTGTGGCCTTAAGTGATCCTCCTGCCTTGGCCTCCCAAAGTGTTAGGACAAGCATGCCCACCCACACCCAGTTAATTTAAAAATTTTTGTAGAGACAGGGTCTCACTATGTTGCCCAGGCTGGTCTTGATCTCCTGGGCTCAAGTGATACACTTGCCTCAGCCTCCCAAAGTACTAGGACTACAGGTATGAGCCACTGTGCCTGGTTCACACTTTGGAAAAAAAAAATCTGTAAATTAAATAATCGCATCGTCTTTCCTCACCAAAATACCTGTCGTAACACTAAATTTTATATTCTGATTCTTTCTGGTCTTTTATTTCTAAATACTGTGGTTGAACATATCTATTGTTCTATGCAAAATGGGAGATAAATTACCAGAGACCAGGATAATCAACTTAAAATGTGTAATTATTTAATAGAGAATTGAGGCTAATGATAAGAGACAGTGCTTAATCAACAGTTGCTTCACTTTTGCTCCTTATCTTTTTATGAACTACTTCCTAAAAATTCATACTAAAATTTGCTATGTCATGTCAGGGCTTGCTTTAAATGTTATATGTATAAAGAGCATGTCTCATAATGTCACATTTAAACCAGGACAGTATTTTATTTTAAACAGATGTCAAAATATTTGTCTTTGGTTCTCCTGTATGGTGGCACTATCGGAAATACCAGTTTACTCACCTGGCTGATAAAATGTTCTTTCTTCACATGGCTTGAAATGTACCTAATAGAATCAGCAGCTTTTTCCAAAAAAGCAACCAGAACTTTTTCTCCATCACTAAGCTGTTTGTGTTTCTTTTTTTCAAGGACTTTGCCTTTCACTACTGGTTGACTCTCCTCTTTCTCTGGGATCGAGTAGCGATCTACGTGGTCTTTCATGCAAAGTAACTTTGGAAGTTTCTGCAGAAAGAGCCTCTTAACCCAGGGGGCCATGGGGTGGTACGTGGAAGAAGATCTATGGTGAACGTTAATGACAAACACGGTAACAATGATGGACAGAGTCACGAAAATCATGATGAACAGCAGGTACTCTCCAATGAGTGGAATGACTTTGGAAGACGATGGGATGATTTCTTCAATCACTAAAAGGAAAACTGTCAGAGAAACCAAGACAGATGTGGATAATGAAAGTTTTTCTCCTTCATCCGAAGGTAAATAGAACACAAGAACTGTTAGGAAAGACAGCCCGAGGCAGGGGATGATGAGAAAGAGGGTATAGAATAAAGGCAGGCGTCTCAGGACAAAGGAATAGGTGATAAAGGGATAGGAGTACACGCCGTCCCTTCTGTTCCCCTTCATCCCCTTGGCGTTCAGTATTTCCCATTCTCCATTGTCAAAAAAGTCTTTTCTGTCAACATTTTCGTTGATCAAAATGAGGTCGACCATGGTGCCATCATAAGTCCAGGATCCAAACTTCATCGAGCAGTTCTGCCGGTCGAACGGGAAAAACGTGACGTCCATGGTGCAGGAGCTTTTGTAGCTGGCGGGAGGGGTCCAGACAACGGTTCCGTTTGATTTCACGATGACCTTAGTCATCAGGGAGCCTTCGAAACGGCCGTCAGCGCTGCAATCAAAGCAGTTTCACCTTAGCAGTTGGTGGAGCACCTGCTAGTTTTTGTTTTTTTTTCCCAGCATTGACTATTTCTATTTTATGACTTTTCTACCACAACATCAGACAATTGTTTTAAAAGAAACAATTATTTCGTCATTTAAAGTTGAATTTTTTAAAGTATTTTGCCTGAATCAGAATTTTCTATTCCTAGTGTTAATTGACCAATTTCATTTTCTTTTGTGATTTTACTTTTCTTTCTTTTTTTTTTTTTTACTTCTTTAAATATTTATTTTTTATTTTTTCCCTATAAGTAAGAAACAATGTGATACTTACTTTTCGAAGAGAACTATGTCAGGAAGCCACAGAGATTCTGATGGAACTTTAATAGAATGGATCCCACCATAATCATCAGGATTCCAGCGTAACTTGTGGTCTGTCCATTCCTGAAGGAAATTAGCATACTGTGACTTTATTCTGAAAGTTCAGTGTATAATATCTTGAGATCTTCAAGTTGCTGTTAGCTTACTAACAAGCCACTGTTTTATTATGAAAGGGAAATTCAAGCCACTGTTTTATTATGAAAGGGAAATTGTCCCGGTTGGACTGCGTGACCCTATTGAGGACTCAGTATGGGGTTTACCTTGAGCCAGCCTGGCCTCTGATCTCACCGAGGCCCACACACTTTGCATGTTAGGTATTTCCAAAATTACCATATCTGCCTCACCATGAAGAGGCTCTGCAACAAATGCCACTGATTCATGATCTGTCTTTTCAGCTTATTTTCTCTTAAGAAACAAATAAAAGAAAAGCAGGCCGGATGCGGTGGTGCATGCCTGTAATCCCAGCACTTTGGGAGGCCCAGGCAGGTGGATCACAAGGTCAAGAGATTGAGACCATCCTGCCAACATGGTGAAACCCTGTCTCTACTAAAAATACAAAATTTAGCTGGACATGGTGGTGGGCGCCTGTAATCCCAGCTACATGGCAGGCTGAGGCAGGAGAATCGCTTGAACCCAGGAGGTGGAGGTTGTGGTGAGCTGAGATCGTGCCACTGTACTCCAGCCTGGTGACACAGTGAGACTCCATCTCAAAAAAAAAAAAAAGAAAGAAAAGCAATGATGAGTTTAATTCAGTTTATTCTAGGGGAGTGGATTAAAGGAGAGTGGATACTTTAATCACATGCTAGTAGATGCAAATGATTTTGAACACTGCTCAAGAGGATTGGACGAACATCCACCTGCTATGTTAATATGAGACAGCCATTTTCCATGGACTCTTCTTGATCACATTGGAATTTGTATCCAATAAAAAATGTTTTCCAAGCATTTTATAAGTTTTAATCTGAATTTATTTTTGGAGCTCCCAATTATAATTTTAAATTACATTCTTAATGTTGTTAGCCTCCAGGCGCTTACACATTTTTCTTCATAAGGATGAAGTCACACAGCGTGTTTCACAGGGGCTGATGAATCTAGATAAATACACCTGACCATGAATTGATCAGACTGTGAAGGTCAAGAGGATGATGTATGGATGACCCAATCACAGCAGAGTGGACTCCATTAAAAACATTTTAGGCCCAGAATAATAGGAAATCTGACCTGACAATTAAATTCTTCTGTTCTATGGCTCCTCATGTGGATAGCTGAGTACGGACGAAGGAGGTCAGAGAGTTAGAAGGGCATGCCCAGCATGAGAATCCCCGGAGCCCAGTGATGCCAACTTTGTCATGAAAGCACCAGGAGTCAGCAGATGGATGATGTCACTAGATGGTAAAATACTGAAATATGCATGATGCCTGACAAATGATGGAACTCCACAACCCAGAGGAAAGATTGTCTACCCGAGACAATATTTTTGAGACTCGATCCCCCCTATAAAAAGTTTAAAATGTATGGGACTTTAAAAAGCTAGAATCTAAAGTATAACAAAATGGCCTCATATTTAAGGAAAATCATGCATGTGAAACTGACAATTTAAAAGCCCAATAATAAAGAATTCACCATGTTTACTTGGTGCTCACGGGATTCTCTTTTTTAATTCCTCCTCTGCCCATTTTGAAGAGCAAATATAATCTTGCTAGGAATAATTTGTCTCCTACCAATGAAACTTACTGTTATTGGTAGGCCTGAGTCTCAGAAATCTTAGAGGGAACTTGCTCAGTAACATTTGTGGTTGGTTTCAAGTCCACTTTATGCACTTTGTAAAAATTTACTTAAAATAAAATCCACTCTTTTGTTTACAGTTATTAATGCAAATAGCTGTATAATAACTGCCGGCATTAAGACGCCAAAACAGTTTTTTTACCCAAAATATTTCCCAGGTGTTGCCCTTTTGTAATCAACCGCTCCCACATTGCCAACCCTCGGAAATCCTGATTTGTTCTGTTTCTATAATTTCAGCTTTTTTAGAATGTCATGTAAATGCAATCAACATAACATTCTGATTTTGACTTCTTTACTTAGCAGTGCTTTTAGATTCTTCATTTTTCTTTCTTTCTTTCTTTCTTTTTTTTTTTTTTGGATATGGAGTTTCGCTCTTGTCATCCAGGCTGGAGTGCAATGGTGCAATCTTGGCTCACTGCAACCTCTGCCTCCTGGGTTCAACCGATTCTCCTGCCTCAGCCTCCCGAGTAGCTGGGATTACAGGCATGTGCCACCACGCCCAGCTAATTTTGTATTTTTAGTAGAGACAGGGTGTCTCCATGTTGATCAGGCTGGTCTCGAACTCCCAACCTCAGATGATCCACCTGCCTTGGCCTCCCAAAGTGCTGGGATTACAGGCGTGAGCCATGGCGTCTGGCCTAAAACATAATAAATATTTATTAATGCTGTATTGGATGAGGCAACTAGGGCTTAGAAAGTTCAAATACCTGTCCAAGGCCACTCAGCTAGTCAGTGAGGGGAACGGATTCAAGGCTGCTGCACATGGCAGGGTCATCAGTGCAGCCACAACTCCAGAGGTGTCCTGCACGCTGACTCTGCTGTGAAGGGCGCCCCCAGGAGGTGTGCAAGCCTGGTGGTCTTAATGGGCTTCTAGCCAAAGTCTGCCTGAAGCCAGATGATCCACGCTTTTCTCTCTCCCCATGCTGCACTGCAGTGGGAAAACCTGTGGCCTAAAATGCTTCATAAGTTCAGTTGCTTCTAGGAAGCTTTCTTTTTTTTTTTTTTTGTTTGAGACAGAGTCTTGTTCTGTCACCCAGACTGGAGTGCAATGGCATGATCTCAGCTCACTGCAACCTCCGCCTCCTGGCTTCAAGCGATTCTCCTGACTCAGCCTCTTGAGTAGCTGGGATTATTGGTGCCCACCACTGTGCCCAGCTAATTTTTGTATTTTTAGTAGAAACCATCTTGGCCAGGCTGGTCTCAAACTCCCGACCTCGTGATCCACCTGCCTTGGCCTCCCAAAGTGCTGGGATTACAGGTGTGAGTCACTGCACCCTGCCTGCTAGCAAGCTTTCTATGGCTCAGTTCTCAGGGTTATTGCTGGTGCTGATAGATATAAAGCCCAACTTTGTACTCAGGCTGAAGAGCAGCTCATTCCATATCCTCTCTGTCAAAGAGAGAAAACAAAAAACAATGATTAAACAGAAAAACTGCTTGGCCTTAATAGCAAAACATCTGTTAAAAGACAAATAGTAGGCCGGGCGTGGTGGCTCAAGCCTGTAATCCCAGCACTTTGGGAGGCCGAGGCGGGTGGATCACGAGGTCGAGAGATCGAGACCATCCTGGTCAACATGGTGAAACCCCGTCTCTACTAAAAATACAAAAAACTAGCTGGGCGTGGATGGCGCATGCCTGTAATCCCAGCTACTCAGGAGGCTGAGGCAGGAGAATTGCCTGAACCCAGGAGGCGGAGGTTGCGGTGAGCCGAGATCGTGCCATTGCACTCCAGCCTGGGTAACAAGAGTGAAACTCCAGTCTCAAAAAAAAAAAAAAAAAAAAGACAAATAGTAAAATACAGTGAAATATCTGTTAAAATACTAAAATATAAGCAATAATAAAATATCTAAACAGTAAAATATATAATTAAATATCTAAATAGTAAAATATGCAAGTAACAGTAAAATATCTGCTAAATAGTAAAATATATAAGTAACAGTAAAATATCTGGTCAACGTGGCTCACGTCTGTAACCCCTGCACTTTGGGAGGCGGAGGCAGGTAGGTCCCTTGAACCCAAGAGTTTGAGAGCAGCCTGGGCAACACGGGGAAACCCCATCTCTTCAAAAAATAAACAACAACAAAAGTTAGCCAGGTGTAGTTGTGTGTCTGTGGTCCCAACTACTTTGGAGGCTGAGGTGGGAGGATCACTTTAGCTTAGGTATTCAAGACTGCAGACACCTGTGATTGCTCCACTGCTTTCCAGGCTTGGAGACAGAGCAAGACCCTGTTTCAAAATAAATAAGTAAATAAATGAATAAAAGTCAGGTGAATTATACAAAGAAGCATGCTCTACTGTGTCCAAGTGCAATGATGAGCAAAGGGAGAATGATGAGATGAGGAATGCATCACAGGGGTTGTCCTCGGCTTCAGCAAGGCCATGGGAAGGAGGGGCACACCAAGAGATCTTTTTTTTTTTTGAGATGGAGTCTCACTCTGTTGTCCAGGCTGGAGTGCAGTGGCACGATCTCTGCTCACTGCAACCTCCACTTCCTGGGTTCAAGCAATTCTCCTGCCTCGGTCTTGAGTAGCTGGGATTACAGGCATGCACCACCATGCGTGGCTAATTTTGTATTTTTAGTAGAGACAGGGTTTCGCCATGTTGGTCAGGTTGGTCTCGAACTCCTGACCTCAGGTGATCCACCGGAGTCAGCTTCCCAAATTGCTAGGATTACAGGTGTGAGCCACCGTATTCGGCCATCAAGAGGTCTTTATAAAAGAAGGAAATCAGGTTAGGAGATAAAATGGACAAGTGCTGTGTCTGCTGCCTTGAATTCACCTGCCCTTCTACTGGTAACAGAACCCCGGTTTCCTTTTGCAGAACGACCTCACTCCACTCTCAATCTATTAGCTTTTGGGGGAGCTGATGCACCCTTCTGCTCCAGGCCTGCCTCTCAGACCTGCCCATTGTGATTTTCAGGGACAGCCGGCAACCAAATCAGAGTTGGTAAGACAGCACAGGGCTTCTGAGACCACCAAGAGGTGGGACACTCTTTCCCTGATGAACGTACACGCAGGTAATGTTTTGTTTTGTTTGAGATGGGGTCTTGCTCTTTTGCCCAGGCTGGAGTGCAGCAGCATGATCTTGGCTCACTACAACCTCTGCCTCCCAGGCTCAAGTGATCCTTCCACCTCAGCCTCCCAAGTAGCTGGGACTACAGGTAGGTATTACCATGCCCTGCCAATTTTTAAAATTTTTGTAGAGACAGGGTTTTGCCACATTGCTCAGGCTCATCTCCAACTCCTGAGCTCAAGTGGTCCACCCACCTCAGCCTCCCAAAG